TTGATGATGATATGTGTGGGTGATTTTCTTTTGGGGTCTATCCTGTTTGGGGTTCATTGGACTTCCTGAATGGATATATTCTCATCTTTCATCATACCAGGAAAATTCTCTTCCAACAAATCTTTGACAATTTTCTCTGTGGTTTTGTCTGTTTTGGAATTCCAACTACACGTAGGTTATTCCTTTTGATGGTATCCCACATGAACCTAAGGCTTTCTTCATTTTGTTTTGATCTTTTTTCTGATTTATCCCTTCCCAAAGAAGTGTTCAGGTATTTGCCTTCAGTCTCCCTAATTCTGCCTTCCATTGATTCAGTTCTGCTCCTTTGCCCATTCAGTGTCTTACCTATTTCTGAAAATTTAGTATGAATCTTCTGGATTTCTGTGTGTACATTTTGTATCATTTCTAATTTTTCATTTATTTTGTCATTTTGTTCTTTCAGAATTGTTCTAGGGTTTCCTCTGTGTTTTCCTTGATCTGTCTCTCAATTCATTGAAGATACCTAAATATAATTCTTTTGAATTCCTTATCAGGGAATTCCAATGCTGCGTCTTCCTCAGGGATGTGTTTTGGGTCTGTATCCTGGTCCCTTATTTCTCCTGGTTTATCTTGCTCCTTTGTTTAGACTATGATGCTCTGTTGTGTCCGAGGCATTTTGACATTTTTGCGTTTATATTTAATTGGTGATTGTATGTTGGAGTGACTTCCCCATGATTTTCGTTTTCTTTGGATGTTATTTACACAAGTAGGGTACTTTGTTCCTCTATTCACTAGTTGACAGCACTTATACACTCACACCTGTCTCCTTTCCTGTTGTCAGCTTCTCATATGGCCCTGCTGACCTTGGCAAACAGAGCCTATTCTTAGGTCCCTGGAATCTGAATGAGAATGCTATCACTTTAAAATCCAAAATGGTTGCAACTTGTAAAGATTCAAAATGGCTGTGCCCTCGGTCACTTTAAATATCCAAAATGGCTGTCCCATATAAATAATCAAAATGGCTGCACCCTCCAGACAGCAGAAAATCAACAGCTCAGGTTGTCTCCCTCCTTGCTGTTTCCCTTCCTAGTCATAGGCCACCAGCACAGTCGTCCTTACAGCCCTTGGTGACCAGGGTTGATCTTTAGGTCAATTCTCAGGTCTCAACACTACTTGAAAATATTCAGGCTGTTGGTCCCGTCAGAGTAGCTGACAGTCCACAGCTCTGACTGTCTCTGTACTCACTGTTTTTGTTCAGGTTTTTCCACTAGTTGGTGCTTAATCCACTTCTGTATAGTTTCTTTCAAAGCTCAGGGCTCCAGGATTATCTTCTGTATCTCTGTCAATTGGTTTTTCTTTTCTTTGTTGAAGAGGGTCTATGTTGCTTGTCTGCCTATTCCTTCATCTTACCAGAAGTCCCCTTTCTTTTCCTGTTTTAATAAACGTTCTAGTTGCATTAGGAAAACCTCTTATCCATTAGTTCTCTGTGGCTGTTGTGCAATGTATGTTCATATGAGTCCTGTGAAATGGAGATCAGATTCTTCTCAGTCAAGAAGGATAGTAAAGTTCATCACTTGGTGGACATTATGCTGAGTGAAATAAGTCAAATCACAGAAAGACAAATACTGTATTAGTCTATTATTATTAAAAGTCAAGGAAAAGTTTATATATGGAAGGAAGTTTTCTTTGTTGGTTACCAGGGGTGGGAGGAGAGGGGAGGGAACACTGCTAGATAGGTAAAGACAAGTATTGATTTGGGTGAGGAGGAGGGCAGTGTACCAAATATGAATGATCAGTACGGTGACATTGAGGAAGAGGAAGACAGAGAGGTGCATGGGAGTTACAGACAACAGAGATGAACTCTTTTGCACATACAGTGATGGCAAACATCGATCTATAGGTGGACAGGCTGAACGATTAGGTATGTCTGTACAGGGGGGGATGTGCCTATGACTATGTATAGGGTTGGCAGATAGTGTATCTACAAGTGTATTAGTATATTCTGTAAGTATTTCTAGGTATATAGTAGAGCTGACAAGGGACAAGGTTGTAGTCACTTCTTGGCCACAGCCAGCTACCCAAAAGGAGCGAGTAGTTGGACCTGTGGGCTCAGGACCATGGTCACAGGGGCATCAAACTCAATTGGCACTAACATCCTACACAAAAACATTGTTCCTACTTTGGCAAGTAGCAACTGGGATCTTAAAAGCTTGCAAGGGGCCATCTAGATGCAATGACGGGTCTCTCCTCGTCTAGAGCAAAGAATGAAGAAAACCAAAGACACATGGAAACAAATAGTCCAAGGGACTGGTACACCACGCAATCCTCAGCCTATACCACTGTGAGACCAGAAGAACTAGAGGGTGCCTGGCTACCACTGTCAACCACTCAGAGGGGGATTTGTGTACGAGATCCTGGGTAGAGTGGGAGAACAATGTGAAACAAAACTCAAAATTAAAAAAAAAAAAAAAAGAGGGACCAGGTTTCCTGGTCTGATAGAGCCTAGTGGAATCCCTGAGACTATGGCCCCTTGCTGCCTTTCAGATCTAGAATTGAACCCACTCCTGTGGCTTCCTTTCTAGCCCAACAAAATGAGCTGAACATTTACATTATGTAGATACACTCCTTGGAGAGATCAATCATGGGAGTATAGAAGGGCTGTGTATACACAGAGAGACACCTTTGGGGGCAGGAGTGCATGGGAGGGAAGGATACAGGGAAGAGGTGGCTTTAGGGAGAAAGTGGGAGGGGAGCTGTTGCATTATGAGAGATTATAGACAATGTCATGAGATAAAATGTATGTAAATTGCTATATGGAAGATGAATTTTCTCTGTAAACTTCAACCCAAATCACAGTAAAATATAAAATAAAAAAAAAGGATAGTAAAGTTCATCCCTTTTCAGGAAGCGTGTAGTCAATTGTATAAGAATTTGGTATATATAATGACTGGAAATCCTACCATGAGTTTAAAGTATCTTGTTGGCAGTGAGAAAAGAGGAAGTATGAAATGGGTAATGCAAGTGGAGTTGAGCAAAAGAAAAATAGGAATTGTTAGTATGAACAGGCTTTGGGGTGGGACAAGGCCAGCTCTAGGGATTAGAGGGTTATCTTTATACATTAGCAAATTTTTAAACATGGAAAATTTTAAGGCGCTATGTTGAATTGGACTAAGAAACTCAAAAGGCAAGCCCATGACTAATGCTAACAATGATTCTCAGCTTTGTTCAGCTCTAGTTTATATATAGATTTGTGTAGGTTCTTTCAGTATCTCACCCGGTAAGAAATTTCCATCCCAGAGATACAGCCTCAGTACAAGAGCCTACAGATGGAGTTTTTGAGATGCTCTATGGACTGAAATTATGGATCATGGCTTCTTATTGTTAATCCCTATATGGTTTTCAGTGAAGAGCACTTCAGAAAATTCATGTATAGCCAGCCAAATTTTCTAGGAGACCCAACTCATAGGCTTGGGGACTAAATAAGTAAGGAAAGATCAGAAGATCTGTCCTTTGACTTCAGCAAAGCATCATGCACTACACAGCACATCCCAGTGACTTATGCTGGGCCCTGCCCTTGTCAGAAAAGGCCTGACTTACTGGATGAAGGGAATAGGGGAAGAGCCGTTGACTCTATCCTTTTTCTGTCCTTTGAGTCTGGAGTTGCAGGGAATAGAGGTGAAAGACTAGTGTGGCTTAGTGCACTTTAGAGTCTGAAAATGAGTAGTTGCAATTTTCATTCCCAGCTCTCTCATTTTTATTAAAGATTTCATTCATACCTGTGAGAAGCTCTGCCACGAAGGAGACTGTGGATCGTGCTCTCGCACCTCAGTTATTTCCTGCAGATGCTCTTTCAGAACAAAGGTAAATCTTAAACAATGCCAGAGTTGTTAGCACTTCTGCCTTTTAAATTGGTGCTTAAAGAGGAGGAATCATTCACTTTATAGGACAGTTAAGATAATTTCTCAGTGTTGTTTTTTGGAAAAATACCCTCGGTTTTATTACTATCACACTGTGTACAACATATTTGGTCTAGCTAGTGACCTCTGCCAAGGGCCACTTTTAGGACACGTTTTGGGGTGTGTGACATTCCAGCCTCAAAAGCCAATAGTGGGGATAAGATAGGTTCTGCCCTTTCCTGTGTCTTTAGCCAGAAGAGGCAGGAAGCCTTCCTGTAGAAGTCTTTAGTGATACAGCTTATGGAACATGCTGATTGCTGATCTGTCCTGTTGTCTGACCTACTTCTGGTCATTTCAGCACCTGTTCCAGCAGAGCACAGGCCAGGCTAGAGATGGAATTCTGAGCAGTTACTTTTCTTTGTTCAAATCTGGTGAAAACCTCAGTGGGGAAGGAGATTGTCAATACAAGGACTAAGAAGTATTAATGTGTACTAAAGTTTACTTTGGCTTTTCTTTTATATTTGAAAAATAACTAAATTGAGATAACCAGATGACTAGAGGTGGCCCCTCTAAGTGTAGGCAGGGCCGGGAGCTAAGGAAGGCCCTGCAGATAGGACGCTGGGTCTAGCACCAGTGCCGGGACTTCATGTGTTCTTTGCCTGGTGACTTTTATCACATACAGTGGTATGTCTAGGAAAATATAGGCCAGGGCCTGGGCAGCAGCTGACTTGCATATTGTTGTTGTTGTTATGTGCCGTCAAGTCGGACCTGACTCATAGCGACCCCTCCTTGGGTTTCTGAGGCAGTGTCACTACAGAAGTAGATTGCCCCATCTTCCTTCGGAGGAGTGGTTGGTGGATTTGAACTGCCAGCCTTCTGGTTAGCAGTCAGATGCTTTAGGCACTACGCTACCAGAGCAAAGCGACTTGCATATTATTCTGAGGATATAGTTGTAAGTTAGGAGCTAGCTTGACAGGTAAGGTTCAGAGTAAAAAGATGTTAAAGTGGTACAGTTTACATGTGGTAAAAGTTATGAGAGAATGTAAGTTTTCTAAAAGAAACTGCAGTATACAGAGATGTCTGAATGTCAGGTACAGAATTTCTTATGCTTTGTAAATACCAGACTGAAGACTGATTTAGTAATTACAGATTTATTAATGCCCGGAGGTGTTCCTAATATCCCTTTATGACCAAGTATGGGCAGGACCTATAAGATAGAAATGGTTGCCATCAGTTTGCTTCTTTCTCCTGAAGAATCCTCCCCCCTTTTTTTTAATCTCTGTGCTTCTTGCTTCACATTTGCTTTCTGTCCTCATTCCCTCCAATGGTAGGCCCCAGGGCAGTGACTATATTCTGAAAAAGCTGCTTGTAAATTTAATTTTTGCGATTAGATGTCTTATTTTGAAATTACTGAAGGAGCTGACTATAAATATGAATTTTTATTAAGAAGGAATGTCTTTATCAGTTTACCAGTTTCTGATCTTTTGACAAAGTGAAAAACCTCTTCAAAACGCTAATAATCATCACTTCATTATTTAGCGAGATTTTCATGACGTGTTTTCTTAATGAGGTTTTCTCACAAAAGTGAGTTTTCTAGATAAAACTCATTTCTTAAAACATCAAAGTTGTTTTCTTGTAATCACTTTAGTGGGAGTCTTTGAGAAATATATGATGTATCCTACTCCCTCTTCAACAAAGAATACTGTATTTAAGTTTCTATTGGTGATTCATGTTTATGATGGGCTTTCTGAGAACATTGTCTTTCCCCACAGCCATAGATACCACTCCAGCACATCCTTTCTTCTATGCAAGTCAGTGTTTGCCTTGACTGACCCACTCACTCAAGCACTTTCACAAGTCACTTTTGCTTTATAGCATTAATTTATCTAAAATAAATATTTTCTGGCCCAGAAGTTTTACTTTCTTAGACATCTTCACTTGTGTTATCAACTCTAGTATCTATAAAGACCATTTTCACTAAGAAGAAATGTCTTTATCATTTTACTATTTTCTTAGTCCTAACAACTGGGCAATCTACTTCCGTATTGATACTGCCTTGGAAACCCAAGGAGGGGTCGCTATGAGTCGGGTCCAACTTGAGGGCAAATAACAACAACAGCAATTTGTAAATGATATCAAAGCCAGATTCAAATGTGGGTGCTGGACAGCCAGCCAGGCTCATTTTTGCCCAAGTGACTGACTTTTTTCCCATACAGCAGCTTCGCAATACATGTTATTCAGAGTCATACTTCAGCAGAATTACATGTGATAGAACTTTGGGGCTACTCACACATCATTACAACTTTGCTGTCTTCCACTTTTGCTGTAGTTCAGCAGTGTTGTCAGAAGTTCTTGAGTGTGTAAGCTGCTTGCTCCTGCATGCTACCAGATCCTACTTATTTTCAATTCCTATGTCTGATTTTAAGGGCTTTTTCTGTATGCACTCTCGTCAGGAAGTTGCTTCTTTTTTATTTCCGTGCCCTACAGGCCTCTTGCAGCTCTCTTTTCCATTCCAGTTTTATAATTCCTAATCTGCTATATTTGGAGACCAGACCACAAAGATCGTTAGAATTATATTTGTACCCAAAGTCAGTAAGCTTGGGACCCTGTTCTGAGTAAAGCACATTAATATAAGGACTGGCTAACCTAGCTCCAGTTATGTGAATAAGAAACTGCCAGAGAAGTAAAAAGGATATTGAGCGTATGCATGTTACATTTAAGGAGCTCTGATGATATAGTGGATAAGGCATTTGGCTGCTAACCAGAAGCCAACAGTTCCAACCCACCAGCTGCTTCATGGAAGGAAGATGGGTGGTCTACTTCCATAAAGATTTACAGCCTCAGAAACCCAGTGGGGGTTGCTATGAGTTGGGCTTGACTTGATGGCAGTGAGTTTGATTTGGTTTTGGTTATGTTATATTTAGCATTATATTATAGTTGTGTTTTATTTATTCCTGAAGTAGTTACTATTTCTTCTTTTCCATAGGAGCTTCCATGTACCAGTCTCAAAAGTGAAGGTATGACTGGGAAGGGGCAGGAGGGAACTTTCTGGGGTGACAGTAATGTTCTGTATCTTGATAGGGGTTTGAGTTATGCATTTGTCAAAATTCAGCAAAGGTCTACTTGATATTTAGGTATTCATTATATGTAAGTTTTACCTCAAAAGAAAAATAAAAAAAACAATAAACTAAATTGTAGCTGATGATGTACGTGCTGAAATATTTAGGGAAAGTAGTGATGTCTGCAACTTAGTTTGAAGTATGTAAAATAAATAAGATAAATTTATGGATGGGTAGGAGAATGGATAGAAAAAATAAGTACATAAATGTTAATGGTAGAATCTAGGTGATGGGTATGTGGATATTCCTATAAAATTGTTTCAACTTTCTTATGTGCTTGAAAATTTTCATAATAAAATGTTGAGAAAAGTGAAGGTAAATACTGTCTAATGAAGCAAACTTTTACACACCGGCTCTGATGCTCGGTCCCTTTAGACTGCTGGATACCTGAACTCAGCCAGTAACCTTTATTACCTGGAGGCCTAGAGTATTGTTTCTTCCTTTATCCTTTATCCTGATTTCCCATTCTATTCCTGCTCTGTTCCTATTTCCCTAACTACCACATGGTCTTTTGTTTATGTCACCTTAACAACTTTGCAAGAGTGATAGATGAGTGTGTATGAAATAAGAGCTCTCGTTCTGGTCAGGAAGAAAGCTGTATCAGTTAGGATGCTTCCAGCTGCAGATAACAGAAAACCCAAGGAAAAGTGACTTCAGCAAGAAGGGGAAGCATGGAGACAGAACAAGTTCAGAGTTGGTTAATTCCAGGCTCAGTGATACCAGGACTCCAGTTTAGCTTTCCTGTGGTCTTGGCTTTCTCTTCATTAGGATCAGTTGGCTACATCATCTCCACAGCAGCATCCCATGTCCTTACCTAGCAATATGTAAAGGAAAGAAGGGGAGAGTCTTTTATCTTCTATTTCTTTTTAAGAACAAGAAAAACAGTCCTGAAAGGCCCTCAGTACACTTTACATACATTCTTCTGCCTAAACCAGTCATTAATAAGGGCAGTGGAATTACTATAATGGGCTATAGTTCTCAGTATTTACCCCACCCCCAGGACTGAGGAACACTTGGATGCCCAATTGCTGAATAAGATTAAGATCTCTTAGCCTGAAGAAACTAGAGAGTGGCTGATCAGGAAATAACCATCAGCATCTTGCCTCAAAACCATATTCAAAATTTCGGTTATTGAAAGATAGTTTAAAAAGATTACAAAAATAATATACTTTTGAAGTAAAAAATATACAAAACAGTATAAAGTAAAATATTAAAATATACCCTTAGCCTAAATTTTTTTCCCTCGTACTTCCACTCCCTGAAGAAATCTCTGTCAATAGTTTATTGGGTAAAGTTCCAGATCTTTTTCTGTAGTCACATGGACTCATACATAATGCTAGGAGAAGCTTTTCCTCTAAAGTGAGGTTTCTACTAAGCATACTGTCTGCATCTTTGTCTTTCCTCTCAATAATATGTCAGATATTCAACAATTAATAATAATAACATAGCAAGGACATTTTGCCAGGTCACTCTGTATAGTTCTCCCTCTTGCAGAGTATTCCATCCTATGGATGGACCCTAATAGAGTTCACCATTGCCCTGATGGTGATTCTTTAGGTTGTTTTCTAATTTTACCCATCACAAATAATGCAGTAACCTATACAACTATGAGACCAGAAGAACTAGATGGTGCCCAGCTACCACTGCCATCCACTTGGAAGGGATGTAGGAGATCCTGCATAAAGAGGGAGAACAATGTGGTACAAAACTCAAAATCATTTGGAGGCAAAAAAATAAAATAAAAAGAAGGTGGGGACCAGGTTTGCTGGTCCAATAGAGCCTGGTGTAACCACTGAGACTATGGCCCCTAGCTGCCCTTCAGGTCTGGAATTGAACCCACAACTGTGGTTTCCAGCCAAAGTACAGGCATGTGAGTTAAACATTTACCTCAAGTAGAAACACGCCCTGGAGAGAACAATCATGGGAGAAGGAAGGGCTGCTTATGCACAGGGAGATAGCTCAGGGTGCAGAAGAGTATGAAGGGATGGACACTGGGAGGAGGTAACTATGGGGAAGAAGTGGGAGGGGAGCTGCTGCATTGTAAATTTTGGTCAATGACATGAGACAAAGTATATGTGAACTGCTGTATGAAAAGTGAATTTACTCTGTAAATCTTCACCCAAATCCTAATAGAAAAAAAAAAAAAAAATGCAGTAATCATCCTGTCCCACTTTTTAAACATTTTATGGAGAATTTCAATCATATGTGAAAGAACGACTGGTGTAATGAACCCCCCCATCCCCATCACTCATAGTCAGTTATTAGCATTTCATCTATATTATTTTATCCATCCCTTCCCTACTTTTTCATTTTGCTGAAGTTCTTTTTTTTTTCATTTTTCTTTTTGCAGTGTTTCCTCCTCTTCCCTCCTACTCCTAGTAACCAACAAAGAAAATTTCCTTCCATATATAAACATTTCCTTAACTTTTTTACAATAATGAACTAATATAATATTTGTCCTTATATGATTGATTTATTTCAGTCTTTGCTGACATTATTGAAAGCAAATCCCAGACATCATTTTACTCATAAATATTTCAGCAGCTAAGCCACTTTTTTTTCCCTTTTTTTAAAAATTGAGATAAAATTTACATATAATACAATTAACCTAAAGTGTACATTTCGGCACAGTATATTGCAGCCATCACTTCTATCTTGTTCCAAAACATTTTTATCACCCCAAAAGGAAAGCCCATATCTGTTAAGTAATCATTCTCCATTCCTCCCTCCCTACAGCCCTTGGCAGCTACTGTACTTATCTACCTCTTTTGACGTACTTATTCTGGATATTTCATATAAATGGAATCATAGAATATATGGTCTTTTGTGTCTGGCTTATTTCACTCAGCATGATGTTTTCAAGGTTCATCCATGCTGTAACACACATCAGTACCTCATCTCTTTTTATGGCTGAATAACATTTCATTGTATGTATATACTACATTTTAGTATATAAATAAATTCATTCACCATCTGATGGGCATTTGGATTGTTTCCATCTTTTGGCTGTTGTGAATAGCACAGCTATGAACATTTGTGGACAAGTTTTTGTTTCAATACCACTTTCAATTCTTTTGAGTATATATACTTAGGAGTAGAACTGCTAGGTCATATGGTAATTCTGTTTACCTTTTTGGGGAACTGCCAAACTTTTCTGAAGCAGCAGTACCATTTTATAGTCCTAACAATGCACAAGAGTTCTAATTTCTCTGTATCTTCACCAACACTTACTATGTTTCATTTTTTAAAAATTATAGCCATCCTACTGGGTGTGAAGTGATATCTCATTGTAGTTTTGATTTACATTTCTCTAGAGATTAATAGGGATCTCTGGTAGCATAGTGCCTAAGGCACTTGACTGCTAACCAGAAGGTTGGCGGTTCAAACCCACCAGCCACTCCTCGGAAGGGAGATGGGGCAATCTACTTCCGTAGTGATACTGCCTTGGAAACCCAAGGTGGGGTCTCTATGAGTCGGGTCCGACTTGACAGCACATAACAACAACTACAGTGATTAATAATGTTGAATATCATTTCATGTACTTAAAGGGCATCTATATATCTTCTTTGGAGAAATATCTATTCAAGTCCTTTCCCCAGTTTTTAAATGGATTGTTTGCAGTATATTCTGGATGTTGTTGTTGTTAGGTGCCATCAGTGAGTTCCAACTCACAGAGACTCGGTGTACAACAGAACAAAACACTGCCCAGTCCTGCACCATCCTTACAATTGTTGCTAGGTTTGAGCCCATTGTTATAGCCACTGTGTCAGTCCTTCTCATTGAAGATGTTCCTCTTTTTTGCTGACCCTCTACCAAGCATAATGTCCTCCTGCAGGAACTGGTCCCTTCTGATAACACGTCCAAAGTACATGAGAGGAAATCTCGCCATCCTCTCTTATAGATGCTAGGCCCTTATCAGATGTGTGATTTGCAAATATTTTCTCCCATTCTGGGTTGCCTTTTCACTTCCTTTATAGTGTCCTTTTATGCACAAAAACTTTTAATTTTGATTAAATCTAATTTATTTTTCCTTTTGATGCTTGTGCTATTGGTGTCTTAGCCCATTTATGGAAGTATATCTATAGGAAGGAGACCTTAAAATAGAATTACCACCAAAATTTTGACAAATTCTTATGTACTCTAAAAATTTATATTTTATCCACTAAGTATGAGTGCATGTTTTTCTCCACACTTCTGCCCATACCAGACATTAATTGATTTTTCTTTTCTACTTTTTTTTTTTTTACAATCTGAGAGGTGAGAAATGATACCTTATTTTAATACACATTTTCACCATCACTAATTTATTTGCATTATTACATTACATTTGTATTTCTAAAGCACGTAGTCACTCAGATACTTGTTGAATGAATGTACATATCCTTTGCCTGTTTTGTGTTTTGTTTTTCTTTTCTTTTTAATTGACCACAGCAGATGCTACATTTATGTGTGACAAGCGATGTAACAAGAAACGGTTGTGTGGACGGCATAAATGTAACGAGATATGCTGTGTGGTAAGTCAGCCTATCATTAGACACAATCAGATCCCATGCATTCAGGGCTGGGCTTCTGGAAGCCTCAGGCATCTGGAACACAGCCCAGATTTAGAAATCATTGGGAGGGGCTCCTGAACAACAGTCAGAAAGCTATCATAGCCCCTACACCCACTCAGCAGAGAAGGGCTGGGCCTTAGGCCTTGGCCAAATTGAGAAGTCAGCCAGTATCATCTAGTGGCAACATGGTAGAAGAGATAGAAAAGACAAAAGGCCTCAGACCCCAGACCCCAAGACCATAGGTTTTCTGCAGGGGATCATGTGCTGCCCCAACATTTTTGAAAGAAGCCAGTTTCTGTTATCCAAAAGATTTACTTCTGTGAAACCAAATAAAGGAAGGACTTTCTTGCTATTGCCACTTTGTTTATGCACAGACATATAATTACTGTTATTTGAAGGTTTGTATATTAACAAATTAGGTGAAAAGTAGAGAAACTGTGCTGTCTATCAAGGCTTATAAATCAGTGTTTTATGCCTTTAAGACTTCACTCACTTTGAATTTATTTTGGGGGGATTTTTTGAAGTGTACCTCATTTCTTGTATTTCTCAGTGATTTAACTAGGAAATTTGGTTTATGAAGTGTCTTTTTTTTTTAAGCTGCATCAGAAATCTTAAACATATATAAGAGCCAAGAGTGTAGTATAATGAGTCCCCATATCCCTAATACCCAGCATCAGTAGTGATCATCTCATGACTAATCTTGTTTCATCTTTATCCCCACCTAGTCTCCCACCCTGATTCTTTTGAAGCTAATCCCAGAGACTATTTAATCTGAAAATGTGGAGAGCTGCTTTTTTATGAATTTTATTATTTATGGAAAATATAAAATGGAGACCATTTTATACACAAATACAAATACCTCTTCCCAGGATAAGGAGCACAAGTGCCCTTTGATCTGTGGGAGGAAACTCCGTTGTGGCCTTCACCGGTGTGAGGAACCTTGTCATCGTGGGAATTGCCAGACATGCTGGCAAACTAGTAAGTGTCTTCACTGTGTAGTTTATTATAAGAGATTTTAAGAATTCGAGGCATAATATATTTCAAGAGATTGGTTTGCTTAGATTGGTGTGGATTACTGAACTACCATTGTTAGGCCATCATGGATTTTGACTCATAGTGACCCCATGTGGCAGAGTAGAACTTTCCCATAGGGTTTTCTAAGCTGTAATTTTTTTTTTTTTTTGAACTTTTTTATTGTGGTTTGGGTGAAAGTTTACAGAGCAATTTAGTTTCCCATTGAACAGTTTATACGCATTGGTTGCATTCCCTCATTGTAACAGCACTCTTCCGCTTACTCTTTGGGGGTCCCTGTTTCCATTCCTCCTCCTTTCCTGCCCCTTCTTGCCTTCCAAGCTTTGTTCTTAGGCAAATGCTACCCTTTTGGTCTCGTATGGCTGATTGTACTGAGGAGTGTGTTCCTCCCTGGTGTTATTATTCACTTTATAGACCTATCTGTTGTTTGGCTGAAAGTTAATCCCCTGGGTTAGGTTCAGTTCCTCCAGACTTGAAGGTATCAAAGGGCCAGTCTCAGGAGTTCCACCAGTCTCTATCAGATCAGCAAATCTGGTCTTTTTTATGATTTTGAATTTTGTTCTGCATTTTTTTTTTTTCTACCAGTCTATCCAGGACCTTCTATTCTGATCCCTATCAGAGTAGTCAGTAGTAGTAGCTGGGCACTGGCTACTCCTTCTAGACTCAGCCTAGTGGAGGCTGTGGTTCATGTGGTCCATTAGTCCTTTGGACTAATTGTATCCCTGAATCTTTGATTGTCTTCCCTTTTTTTTTTTTGGCTCCAGACAGGGAGAGACCAAACAGTTACATCTTAAATGGCCACTTGCAAACTTTTAAGACTCCAGTTGCTACTCATCAAAGTAGAATGTAGAACATTGTCTTTGTGGACTAGATTATGCTCCTTGACCTAAATGTCCCCCAGGATTGTGATCCTAAGTCCCAAGCCCAGTGACTCACCCCTCAAGGTGTTTTAAAACTTTGCCACATGTATGCTCTACTGTATCTTTGGATGTACTTGCAGCACATGCAGATTCATACATAGAAATATACTCTGTCAAACCTGTGCATACTCATGGGTATACTCCCATTTGGTAGGCTATAATCTCTACAAGAGATCAGGAGCTCTGGTGGCATAGTGCCTAAGGCACTTGACTGCTAACCAGAAGGCTGGAGGTTCAAACGCACTAGCCACTCCTCGGAAGGAAGGTTGGGAAATCTACTTCCGTAGTGATACTGCCTCAGAAACTCAAGGAGGGGTCTCTGTGAGTCAGACCCAACACAATGCCAGTGAGAGTTTTAGTTTAATCTGTACAGGAGCAGATCACCACATCTTTTGCCTACAGAGCTACTAGGTGCGTTTGAACCACTAATCTTTTGTATAGCAGCCAAGCACTTAACTGTTGCTCCACCAGGGCTTCTTTTATTATGAACTGTTATTGCTAGTTGTTGTTGAGTTGGCTTCAACTCATAGAGACCCTATGTACAACAGAACAAAACACTGCCTGGGTCTGTGCCAGCCTTATATCCTTGCTGTGCCTAAGCCCATTGTTGCAGCCACTGTGTCAGTCCATCTTGTTGAGGGCCTTCCCCTTTTTTGTTGATCCTCCACTTTACCAGGCATGATGTCTTTCTTTAGGGAATGGTCCCTTCTGACAACATGACCAAAGTAGGTGAGACAAAGTTTAGTCGTTCTTGCTTCCAAGGAGCATTCCAGCTGCAGTTCTTCCAGGACAGATTTGTTGGTTCTTCTGGCAGGCCATAGTACTTTCAGTATACTTCGCCAACACCACAGCTCAAAAGCATCAACTCTTTACTGAACTAAGCCTTAGTATTTCAGATACTAAGACTTTTAAAATGAAAAGTTAGTACTATGTTGCCCTCAGTATACAACAGTGGAATATAAGCAACAATATTGAGATCATTCATTAATGGATTCCTTTTTGACTATAATTATTGAGGGCCCTAAAGAATTCTTTTTAATTGAGTTACATCTATCTATATTTATCATATTAGAAATTAAAACTGAGAGAATTTAAAAATATGTTTTAATTTTAAAATAACAATAAAGTGCTTATTACACATGAACATAAAACTAAAACCAAACTCACTGCCGTCAAGTTGGATCCAATCCATAGCAACCCCTCCTTGGGTTTCTGAGGGGGTATCACTACAGAAGTAGATTGCCCAACCTTCCTTCTGAGGAGTGGCTGGTGGGTTTGAACTGCCAGCCTTCTGGTTAGCAGTCAAATGTCTTAGGCACTATGCTACCAGAGCTCCCTGTGAACATAAATAACATTTTAAAAAATAAAATAACTATATTTTCCATAAAAAAAATTAATAAGAGGAATAGATGCCTGCTAGATAGAAATCTGCTAGATTCTCATACCTGCTTCTGCATTCAATCTGTTGTGATATATTTGGTATACAAGGGGCGGGGGGAATCCCACCTCACACACTTGGAAAAGAAGGGTATGTTCAAAACCTGTTCAAACATTTATGGGTATTCTTCTTTGATACTACACCAAAATGCAACTTCGTTTCAGAAAGGAGTTGAGTCAGTGTTTTATTTTTGTTCTCTGTTACATTAAAATTCATTGGTGTTTCTTATAGTTGAAATGGATATTATACCCATGGATGATTTTATAATACTATGCACTGGTCATTTGAAAAATAATTATCTGCGTTATGTAGATCTTTCAAATGTTGACATGTTTCATATTATTATATAAATATTAAAAATTGACATCCATTAATATAACCATTTACCTCACCAGAAAGGTCTTTTAAGTCATGGGTAGTTGTCAGGCACATAGTAGTGGATATTAATTTTCCAGAATTCTGTCTTCATGTGAAAGCTTGAATTTTATCATTGGCAACTGAGTCAGTTTTGTAGATGTGACAGACTCACTTTGTTAATTTTTGAGAAAATGACTGCCAAATACCCAAATCTGAATAACCATAGGTTGTCTGTCAGTCATTCTTTCAGATAAAAATGATGTTTTATGAAAAAAAGTTTAATTCAGCTCACAGTTGAAAGAGTCACACAAGTTTAGTTCTTTCAAACAACCAGAGTTTTTTAATGTGCAGAGGTGATTTATGTATATTTCCCATTTATTCTACCAAATTTTAAAAAGTCATGTACTCAAAGATCAGTCTTGTTTTGTTTTTACTGCATCATCAGGATTTTCTTAAGTTTACAGTTTTTTTGATTTACTACTAGTACATGGTGCTGAAAAATACACTGATTACAGTTTGGTGTGTATTCCTTGATTTGTGCTAAGGCCTTAGCAGTTTTAAGAGCCATTGTTTTTGCACCATCAGTGTAAATGTCAACATAGTGAAAAAGGCAAATAGTACTTTAGTACTGTTTGAAAGTAATTTTATAGCATCTTAATATTATGGTACTATGAGAAGAATTATGACCTTGTGGACTCCCTAAGAGGATCCCCTTCAGGTCAACAACATTTTGAGAAAGTTGCGTTAGACGATTGGCCTAGTTAAAGATTTATCATAGTATATCTTCTCTCGAATACTAGGCCTATCTCATTTCAGAAAGAGTCAGTAAATCACACACATGGAGTTCATAGTAACAGTAACTTACATAGCCCCTTACCCTTTTACCTAACTCTTTCGCATATGTTAGCTCCTCCTCCCAACAAACTTGTTGTCAAAGTTTGGTATCCCCACCTGACAGAAAGAGAGATGGCTTTAAGAGGTTAAATTACCTGTCTGCAGTTACAGAGCAGAACAGTAGTGGATCCAGAGCTACAAGGCTAAGTCTCCTGACCATATTTACAGGATTCTTTTCATGGAATTGTAGAGTCTCTAAAGAGTTTGCTAGAGATTACAAGGTGGAGAAGTACAGTGAGTGGAAGAATTCTGGAGGGCTCTGGGCTTCCCACCTCTGGTGCTCCAGTTGAGAACCATGGCTAGTCAAAGGCCTAGCTTCTAGCAAGACCCAGAGTTGGAGAATTGGCTCCTCTTGGGGTCTTAGAGTTTGGAGAGCTCTTGGCAAAGTGGCTGATTGTTAGAGCTGTCCCATGTGATCTCCTATATTGATTTGGCTTGTCAGCTGATTCCACTGAACTCAGGTATTAGCTCTGTGCTTCATTTCAGCTTTGTATTTTGTGCGATAGATGTTTTTTATACCTGTAAGAGTTTGTTAGGATGTTGGTGGCTCTGTGGAGTTATATTCAAAATATTCAGATGTATGTATTTATGTTTATTAATTACCTATGGCTGTTATAATCTCTATCCATTTTCCTAACCAAAGGAGTTAAAAAAAAAGAGCTGTGTTTTTAATGGAAGTCTTGTTCTCTCTGAATGAGATGATCCGTATATTTGTTTATAAATATAAGTAAAAATGTGTTGGGTTACTCTTAGACCTAGAATTTATTGCAAATAAAAATGGAACAACTCCTATCTCTCTACTCCTCTGTCATCAGCTCATATTTAATAAAATAAATATATGTATTTTAAAGCATCTCCACAAAGAATTTTCTAGAAATGTAAGCAGTAATATATGTATATATGTGTCTACATATATATAAAAATATGTGCACTCATATCCCAAACTCATGAAGCATTGTTTTGTTTCACCTGCTACTTCACCAGGCTTTGATGAATTAACCTGCCACTGTGGTGCATCTGTGATCTACCCTCCAGTCCCCTGCGGTACAAGGCCCCCTGAGTGTACCCAAACCTGTGCCAGAGTCCATGAGTGTGACCATCCAGGTGAGTGCCATCTCCTTGCCTCCACTCCCCATAGCCTGCTCACACAACACCCTTAAGGGTGTTGCTGTGTGACTATTTTCACTGCTCTTAGGTCATGCTGCAGTGGCCGCCCTTGTTCTCCATGCTCAGGCTGTTCTGGTGAAGGTGGCTCATGATCTGAGAGTTGCCTCTTTCAGCCTTTCATTGCTTCATGCTCCAAGTCTCTTAATAAATCCAAGAGGTCAGAAGAAGCTCTAGCAAATAACTTTTTGTTTGTTTGTTTGTTACAAGAGCAATAGATGTTTATTGTGAAGAAGGAAAGAACACAGATAAATCCAAAAGATTTGAATTAAGTCATCCATTAGCCTACCTTCTAGGGATTACCAGTGTTCATGTGGTAGCATACTTTTCAGGGACTTTTTCCTTGTACAGATATGTATGTGTGCTTCTGTGTGTGTGTTTGTGTTTCCCCATGATAAAAAATGGTATCTTACTGAACATACTGATTTTAACCAGTTTTTTCCTTTTAATATTGTATTTTTAATATAAAGACAGCTACTTTTTACTTTCCTGTGGCCATTTTTCAAAAGTTTATGTGGCTTTATTTACAGCCAGCTACCCAGAGGGAGCAAGTAGTTGGACCTGTGGGCTCGGGACCATGGTCGCAGGGGACATCAAGCTCAATTGGCATAACATACTACACAAAAATATTGTTCCACATCCTACTTTGGCGAGTAGCGACTGGGATCTTAAAAGCTTGCAAGCAGCCATCTAGATGCAACGATGGGTCTCTCCTCGTCCAGAGCAAAGAAGAATGAAGAAAACCAAAGACACGGAAAACAATTAGTCCAAGGGACTGGTACACCGTATGATTCTCAGCCTATACAACTATGAGACCAGAAGAACTAGATGGTGCCCAGCTACCACTGTCAACCACTCAGAGGGGGATCTATGTAGGAGATCCTGGGTAGAGTGGGAGAACAATGTGGAACAAAACTCAAAATCATAAAAAAAAGAGAAAAAGGGCCCAGGTTTGCTGGTCTGTTAGTGCCTGGTGGAACCCCTGAGACTATGGCCCCTAGCTGTCCTTCAGGTCTGGAATTGAACCCACTCCCATGACTTCCAGCCAAACAAAAGATAGGCATATGAGCTGAACATTTACATTATGTAGATACACTCCTTGGAGAGATCAATCCTGGGGGAATAGAAGGGCTGTGTATGCATAGGGAGACAGCTTTGGGGGCAGGAGTGCATGGGAGGGAAGGTCACAGGGAAGAGGTGGCTATGGGGAGGAAGTGGGAGGAGAGCTGTTACATTGTGGGAGATTACAGTCAATGTCATGAGACAAAGTGAATGTGAACTGCTGTATGGAAGATGAATTTGCTCTGTAAACTTTCACCCAAATCATAATAAAAAAATTTTTAAAAAAAGTTTATGTGGTTTCATTTTAAAGAGACATAGACATTTTGAGTGGTAGATTAATAAAAAAAGGTTTATGTGGCTTTATTTAGAAATTATTCCTAATTTTCTCTTTCTGCAGTTTATCATTCTTGTCATAGTGAGGAGAAGTGTCCCCCTTGTACTTTCTTAACTCAGAAATGGTGTATGGGCAAACATGAGGTAAGGTTTCTCTCTTGAGTGTTCATTGTAACGTAATTTATGATTGGATTTCATTAATAGTTCTTAGTTCTGTTGTTTCTCAAAGTAAATTTATTCTAAAAAGCAGTCTTACTGCTGCCAATTTTTCCTCATTTAAAAAAAAGTTATAATTGGTATACAATTAAATTTACCCTTTTTAGTGTACAAAAATGCTAGTATTGACAAAGGCGTACATATAGTTATATAACCACCATCAAGATGTAGAATGGTCCTTTTACCCCAAACATTCCTTTGTGCTCCTTTAAATAATTCTCTCCCTCCACCTCCAGCCCCTGGTAACCACTGATGTGTCTATCTCTTTAGTTTTGCTTTTTCCAAAATGTCATAAATGGAATCATACAGTAGGTAGCGTTTTGAGTCTGTTCTACCATCATTTTTAATCTGATTAAAATCAAATGAAATTCAGCCAGAGGCCACAAAAACATAGACTATATTCAGAGACAACTTCTGTGTTAACTAGCATGGGAAAGGGATGCTAGCCAGAGGACAGCTAAGAACATCCCGAGGGCAGAGGTAGACTGTCCACTAACTGCCACTGTTCTGTACACACTCAGCAACTTCCATCTTGGCTACTGAATTCACCTCCACCTCTGCTTTGCCATGCCCTAAGGACTCTGCTCTCATTCTTATCTTGGAGCCATATTTAGCCCTGCCAATAAGAGATGCTTTAAAAGACTTAACATTTTATTTTTAATTTAAGAAATGCATATTCATTGTAGACAATTAAAAAAAAGCTCTGCTATGCAGAAAGAAATACTCTTAACATTCTGGTATATAGACTGCTAGGTATGTTTTATATACACACAGTTCCCCTCTGATTGTACTATTGTGTAACCTGTTCTTTTCACTTCATAACATATTAGCTAACATTTCTGGAAATTCTTGACATCTATGACAGCATGCTTTTAGTATTCTTTTCTTATCTTGATAAACATATTTTTTTCCCCTTATTTCCTGTGAGTGGCTCTCAAGTCATAGTCCTTGGTACTTATTCTTTATGAACTCACTTCCTCTGAGAGTTTATCCATTGTAGGACACCTGTGTATCATCTTGGTATTGAGGCTTATTTAGACTTCATCCCACAAATATTCACTGAGTACCTTCTATGTGCTAGGTACCACGTCGAGGTCTGGTGGTCAGAATGGACAAGACCAACATGGCCCCTGCCCTTGTGGAGCTTTCACTCTAAGACAGGCAGCAGAGTGTAAACAGGCCATTGAAGTCCTGTGATAAGGGAAGTACAAAGTGCTGTGAGGGATAGAAAAGGGCCCTAACTAGGAAGGCATCCTGAAGGAAGTCACATCCTAAAGGATGATGAGAAGGTAGGCGAATACAGTGCAGAGGGCACAGTAGAGGCCACACATGTACGGGAGCTGTGTCCCACACCCTGGTGATAGAGTCCGTAAGTATTTCATGATTGATTGCGTCATTTACCAGAGTACTGATTCCAGGGAGATTGGAAGCATACCCTAAGCTTTTGGAGGCCTCTTCGAGGGTAGAAGTTCTGTGTCTCTGGAGCAGGAATTTATCCCTCATTTTGAGGATTCATGAAAGAATATAAGTGAATAATGAAAGTTACCTTCAGTCCCAGAATAGTGAAATTCAGGCATTTTTCCCTGGAGTGGGAAGTCACTTGAGGAGGGCTGGAAAAGGATTCCCTAGTATGAGGTAATTTCTCAAGGAAAAGGGGGGGGGGGGAGGTCTCAGTGGGGAGGTTCTGTGACCTGTTCTTATTTTCTTAATCATTGTGAGTGGATGACTGCTGGGCTACCTGAACCCAAGCTGTGGAGACCATGAATTGAGAGGTATGAAGAGAGTTGAGTATTTAATTACATAAAAGAGCTTTGAACCCTGGGCCCAGCATTCCTCCCTCTGCATATGTAAGGTTTCTGTCTCAACTCAGTGCCTTAGCCATTTGGAAAGTTGTTGTTGTTGTTGTTGTTATGTGCCGTTGAGTCAGCCCTGACTCATAGTGACCCCTCCTTGGGTTTCCGAGGCAGTATCACTACGGAAGTAGGATTGCCCAACCTTCCTTCCGAGGAGTGGCTGGTGGGTTTGAACCACCAGCCTTCTGGTTAGCAGTCAAGTGCCTTAGCCACTATGCTGAATTGTGTGATCCTCCTAGTTTGTCAGAGCATATCTGAGTACTCCCTAATTCTCTAGCTTCATGTGCATGTTGCCCACATTGGAAAGCTTATGTCCCACATCACACTTAGTTGCTGTCACAAATCCTTTTCAGATCATAACAAGAAATATTAAGTGAAGGTCAGATTTGAGTTTATTAGTTTTTCAGACTAACTTTCTAGACTTTGAAGTCTTAATTTTTTTTTTCAGATAACTCTCTTTTTTTATTATAACAAATACTCATTGTAAAAAAACATATATATATATATATATATATATATATTCTGAAGTTCAGAATTGTTTAAAAAGGAAGGTAGACCTTATGCTAAATCCCACAGAGATGAGAATCTGGAAATTTCTGTCTTCCCTAGTTACGAAGCAATATCCCCTGTCACCTGGTTGATATCTCTTGCGGATTACCCTGCAGTGCAGTGCTGCCGTGTGGGATGCACAAGTGTCAGAGACTCTGTCACAAAGGAGAGTGTGTTGTGGATGAGGCCTGCAAGCAGCCCTGCACCACCCCCAGAGCTGACTGTGGCCACCCATGTATGGCTCCCTGCCACCCCAGCTCACCCTGCCCCATCACTGCTTGTAAAGCCAAGGTGGGTATTCCTGCACCAGGTGGGGCATTGCAGAGGTCCCTGGGCATGTCTTAATCAGGGGTCATTGGTTACAAGGAATTTTGAGATAAGCTAGCAAGAGAAGGGTGACAAAAATTCTACAGATTTCCATCTGCTTAGTGTGGCTGCCCCAACCCCAGCCCCAACTTGATATGGCCTTTAGTTCAGGGGGTGCCTACTGCCACTTGACCATAGTCTCTGTCTCCTTTGGATCAAATTCTCATGAGAGACTCTGATTGCCTATTCCATTTGTTCAAAAAATATGTAAGTGCCTATTTTGTGAGAAATATTGTAGGGACTCTACCAGGGAAGAAGAGGCATGTAGCCTCTTAAAATTTTATGGGACAGATACTCTCTCATTAAGTTATTACCCAGGTAATTAATTATGCCTGTGGTATTGTCATAGAGAAATAATTAAGGATGATATGAGACCCTGTAAATGGGGGTTTAACCTGGTCTGGGGATCAAGCAGGGCCCCCCTGAGGATGTAGAAGAGAGGAACATGAAAGCAAATGGCCAGGCCTTGGCTGGTCCTGGGTCAAGTGTTCCCCTCTGGTTTAGGCATCTTCAGATGAGGGTTGGGTGGGAGGATTGCAGTCCTACAAAGGCATATGGTAAAAGCTTCTGTCTTGACCTTCATTTTCAGCAGGGATTAAGCATAGAGGTAGTTCCTAGAAAGGGGCACTATCGATTAGGATTTACCTCCCTGACATGTCAACTCCCTCGTTTGTCAGTTTGCATGTGTAGTGAGTTTTTCCTATCCAGGAGGCTGAACCTCACTATTTATTTATTTCTCTGCCATGGTTTGATTTGAGAGAGACTTGAGAACTCGTCACTCCATGTTAAATTTCAGATAGAGCTGCAGTGTGAATGTGGACGAAGAAAAGAGATCATGATTTGCTCTGAAGCATCCAGTACTTATCAAAGGTTAGTATTAACAATTAGAGGATCCTAGATAAGTGTAGGAGCTCTGGTAGCGTAGTGCCTAAGGCACTTGACTGCTAACCAGAAGGCTGGCGGTTCAAACCCACCAGCCACTCCTCGGAAGGAAGATGGGGCAATCTACTTCCATAGTGATACTGCCTTGGAAACCCAAAGAGGGGTCACTATGAGTCGGGTCCGACTCGACAGCATGTAACAACAATAACAACAGAGTCTAGGGAGCTCTGGTGGCATAGTGGATAAGGCATTTGGCTGCTAACCAGAAGGTCAGCGGTTCAAACCCACCAGCTGCTCCACAGAAGGAAGATGGAGTGAATGGAGTGAGCTACTTCCACAAAGATTTATAGCCTTGGAAATCCAGTGGGGGGAGGGGGGCGCTATGAGTTGGAATCAACTCAATGGCAGTGAATTTGGTGGGGTTTTTTTGTTTTGGTTTGGTTTGGTTTTTTTTGAGATGAGTATGCAGATACTCATTGTAAGATCTTGCACCTTTTCTAAAGGTTGGAAATTTAAAAAAAAAAAAAAAATTTAAATATCTGTTTCTTCCAGTTGAAAGAAAAAATGCTGGTTTCATGATCCTTTTCTTCCCTAACTTCAATTCGTAAAATAACTTCTTTATTTCTCTTCCCTCTCCTCACCCTCCTCCCTCTTCTTCTTTCTGTCTATCTCTCTCTCCCTCCTCCTTCTCCTCCTCCTCCTCCTCTCCCCCACTTTCAGTCTCACTGCACTGGGAGATAAGGAGGGAACACATCCTGAAATGGGGTGAATTGCTTTAACATTCTAAAGCTGCTCAGTAGCACAGCCAGTCCTGTGCTTCTCCTCCGACTTGGGGTTTTCTCACTGTTCTCTGAGGTATAGTGACTTTGCAGCCTCCTGAAATCTTGGGACCTGTGTGGTCACACTGAGATCTGAGGTGACGGGTTGGATGATCGTGTGAATCTCTGATTAAATGTGGCTGTGTGCTGTGGGTGTGGGAGTATGAGGCACCAGGTTGGCTGGGAATATACAGGTCTTGGCCTAGGCACTAGGGAGGTACTGAGGAGTGAATTCCTTGTCATTTCCTGTGTAGCTGCTTAGAATCTAATTGAGGAGCTATGACATATACATGTGGGTAGTTGATAATAGACAGACTTCCAAGGCCACATAAATTATTGTGTGTTGAGTTTGCCTTAAAGACGTTTTCTGTATCCTTTGTATAGGGAGGTTCTTATGAAACTGCAGTGCCTCCCCCCCCCCCTTTTTTTTAAATTGTGGTAAGGATATATATAACAAAACATTTACTGTTTTATCATTTTTCAACATGTATAATTCATTTACATTTACGTTCATCGTGTTTTGTAACCATCATCACTATCCATTTCCAAATTTTTCCATCACTCTTAACAGAAGCTCAGTGCCCCCTAAGCAGTGACTGCTTCTTTCCTCCTCCCTCCTGCACCTGGTAACCACTAATAAACTCTGGTCTCTACATTTCCCTATTCTAGATGTTTCCTGTAAGTGGAGTCATACAATACTTGTCCTTTTATGACTGACTGACTTCACTCCGTGTGATGTTTTTAAGGTTCGTCCATGTTGTAGCATGTATCAGGACTTCATTTCTCTTTATGTCTGAGTAATACTCCATTGTATATGTGTGTGTACCACATTTTATTCATCCATTCATCTGTTGATGGACATTTAGGTTGTTTTCATCTTTTGGCTACTGTGAATAGTGCTGCAGTGAACATTGGTATACAAGTATCTGTGTTCCTGCTTTCAATTCTTTTGGTTATATACCTAGGAGTGGAATTGCTGAATGGGATGGTAATTCTATTTTTAACTTTTTGAGGAGCCTCTAAACTTTTCCACAAGAGCAGTACCATTTTATAGTCCTACCAGCAATGGATGAGTGTTTCAATTTCTCCACATCCTATCCTCATCAGCTCCCTTTATTTTTTATATTTCAGAATAGCTGCCATTTCTATGGCCTCTAAAATAACAGACATGCAGCTTGGAGATTCAGTGGAAATCAGCAAGTTAATCACCAAGAAGGAAATTCACCAAGCCAGGTAGTTTTAAAATGTGTTTTTCTACCTTCTTTCTCCTATTAGATTTACAGTCTAGAGGATAGGAGCCACTCATTTCTCAGTCCCCCACTGTCATGCCTTGCACACATAGTAAGTATTCAACAGACACTTGATGTTAAAAGACCACATCCTCTCCAACCCCAACAAGTACTATTCAGGAATAACTAAGACCAGAGGAGAGGGGGAAGGAAAAAGAGAAAGTCATTGCATAGGGGGTGCTGAGCTTGTGTTAAGGGTGATGGAAAATTTTAAAAATGGGTAATAGTGATGGTTGTACAACATGATGAATATAATTAATGTCCTCAAATTATACATGTGAAAAATGTTGAAACAGCAAATGCATACTCACACATACATACATATGCAAATGAAACCACTGCCGAAGAGTCAGATCTGACTCATAACGATCCCTCCTTGGGTTTCCGAGGCAGTATCACTATGGAAGTAGATTGCCCAACCTTCCTTCCGAGGAGTGGCTGGTGGGTTTGAACTGCCAGCCTTCCAGTTAGCAGTCAAGTGCCTTAGGCACTATGCTAC